ATAGTATATGAATTTGTTGACAAAGTGATAATGAATCATAATATGATATTATATACGGGGTGTTCCATTTGAAAAATCAAAGAAGCCGCTACTTTATAGTAGAAGCGACAACGCCGCTTCGTCTAAAATATTTTAGGCATGTAGGTCATATTGACTTATGCATACTGTGGAATTTTCAGGTTGATCCGTTGAATAATTTGCCAGAAACGGCTAATTAACGCTCATCATGAAAAGCCCTGTATATACAGTCATGCTACTATAAAATATTTTCACAACAATACAGTGAAATAGATATAAAAACAGTTTTCACTAATTTATTCTATATCAATTGGTTATAAATAAACAGGACAGAGTTGTCACTTTGCTCTCCAGGAGAGCAAATTAGGCTTTTCTAGCAATAATTATGGTCCAATACAATACTACTATAATTATCAGATTTTATGAGTGTATCTTTATTTAGTTGTACTTTGTCAATGTCCCATTTAAATGATAACACTTTAGTTTTCTTAGAGTTGAAGACCATTTGATTGGCATCACACCACCTTTTTATTTCAGTTAGATCTAAAGAGATCAATTGGCTGAGAGTATTCTTATCTTCAGTGTGCCATTCTATAGTTGCATAATCTGCAAGTAAAGTGAACCTACCACTAATATTCAAGTTGGTGAGATCATTTAAATATAACAAAAATAATATGGGACCCAAGACAGAGCCTTGTGGAACTCCGCTGGTCAATTTTTTTTCTCAGATACTGCACCCGAAACTTTCACATATTGTTCTCTGTCTTGCAAGTAAGATGTCATCCATTTATGGGATATGCCTCTGATGCCAGAGTACTCAAGCTTCTGCAGCAGTATTCCATGATTCACACAATCAAAAGCTTTGGATAAGTCACAGAACACCGCCGCGGTCGCTTCTTGATTATTAAGATTATTGTACACCTTTTCAAAAAATTTAACATAGACTCCCCGATTCTGTCTTCCAAGAACATAGAGTTGGGAAGAGTGGCATCATTCTTTTTTTACCCTGAAGAAATTCCAGAAGTAGCTGGGGTCATCATGAATGGCATTCTCCACATGAATCATGTATAGAGTGTAGCAATGCTTAGTAAGGAATTTGCAGTGTTGTGTCATGTCGGAAAAATTTGTATAACCATACTAGTCAGTTTGTATTTAGCGTGAACTTTTTTTTTATTTATGATTAGGTCTCCATGAATGAGGTAATATTTGTGAGTCATCTCGTTTGTTGGGGCAGTTGGAACGTTTTTCTATTTCAATTTCGACTTTACAAAAACTACAAAATCGTGGAATGAGAGTCATATTAAAATGTAATCATTATACAAGCATAAAGTTTATGCTCGACGCATTACAATGGTTATCAATACAAGAAAGGTTCTATAGATCAGCAATTATATTTATGTTTAAGACTATTAATAATATGTTACCATCTTATTTTGATGAATNATACCGGCTTGCCGCACTAAGGCACAGATGCGGAAGGCTGTCATTCTTGGCTCACTGCGCTTGCTCAAGGCAAGCGCAGAGAGTTCATTGAACAAGCGCGCCATCTAGCGTCGAGTAGCAATACTAGGTTTTACAAGGATTGTAGTCGATTTATTCAACTGTAGGCTGTAGCTGTTTCTTATGAGCACTTACACTTACAGATGGCATTGTCCACAAAACCAATTAAAATTGTATGTTTGTAACAACAAAGAGCTAAGGTATGCCGCATAAAAATTATACAAAACTGTGAATGCTGGTGAAAGGCTGTCGTAGATTTTAAAAACCGATGTCAAAATCTTAATGTTATTCTGAATATTTCAATACTTTCTACAATACACATTGAACCTTGTAAATTTATTTATGTTTTGTCATGCGATGCAGATTTTATTAATAGGTAAGAAAGTCAATTGCTCGCACTTTGCTCGCTTTGCGGCTAGCTACATTTGATCTCTGTCCCCCCCTGCACCCCGTTGTCGACGCCTTTGATTGTAAGTACATTTTTGAGAAGTAATAATCTCTTTGAAATTTCTCTGCGCTCAAATACTAGTATCAACTCATCAGTAAAACACTACAAAACACCTGGTTTCTCCAAAAAGATCCCACCAGGACCTCCAAACATCAAAATCTACACCATGGAATTGTCCGACTCCATATTTGTCTTCTTTCATTTGTAGACATACTTTGCCACAATATTATTTACTAAAAACGAACTACAAAACCTTCAGTCATATAGAAGCATCAACACCTCAAAATAAGTTCATATTACTTGATGAAAATTTGACTGCTTTAATAATAATAATGGTCTTCATTGGGTGAAATACAATATAACATCCAAAAGGCGAAGTTCAAAACTGCAGTGTAGAACACTACAGGTTTGTTCTACCACTTAACCTCCAACAGTTATTTCTGTGGAATAAAGGTTTGGCCATACCAGATTCTACTTACCACATTATAAAAATCCAACTGTGCCAAGTCAAAATGAGCTTGTTTCAGGTGTATATTTCCTCTACTTATCCGAGCGGCAGTAAAGTCTGGCTTGATTTCTAAAACACGATCCAAGTCGGATAGAGCATTTTTAGCTTTTCCCAGAGCAAGATATACCGTTCCCCTTTTGAAGTATGTGAGGTAATTATTAGGATCCCCTTCTAAAAGTTTGAAACCAGTTATATTTGAGTATCACTGATTATCAACTACTTACCCACAGCAAGATGGTATTGGGTTAAAGCATCTCCTAAATGTCCATTAGCTAGATATTGCTTACCCAGCTGTAAATGCTTATCTATATCTTCTTGTGTTATACATTCTGAAACTTAAACAAAAATAAATTTTAGACATTTCTGCCTTTTCCCAAACTTACTTTCTATCAAAACTTCAGAAAATAATAATATTACATAAAAATTGAATTTCATATTTCTAATACAGAAATCAAAATTGCTCGACATATTTTTTGACGAGATAATTGTAACTCAACACTTATCATTCGAAATTCATTCTCAATAAGCAAAATTCGCGATCCACGACCACGAAAATACATTATACCTAATATTTAAAAAATTGTCAATTGTCACTTTCCCACTAATCAATCGTGGTCCGACGTAATTGGCAGAAAAAGGGGAATGGAGATCATAGAGAAATTTATGATAGAGACACAGAGATATCTGGCTTCGCTATGACATTAAAAAAAGAAAGAAATAATCCCATCCTTGTTTCCGTGGAATGTGTACTTTTTGAGGTACAAACATGAAAATTCATGAATATCTAGGAGAATGAAAAGTGTATGTGATCTTTTCTATTCATCTAATTGAGGCAGATGTATAAATTATCTGTCCTGTTATTCACAGAAAATGGACACCAATAAGACTTGGCACAATCATGTTGCTGGAATTGCAAAACCTGCTTCTCAAAAGCTTGGAACCTGTTCCGAACCAGAAAACTGTACACACCTCAGCAACTTTTGATGATTTATAAAGATCAAATAAGACCTTCTTTGGAGTATTGTTCTCATGTATGGAGCTCTGCCCCCAAACATACCTTAAAGTTGCTGGATTCCATCCAGAAAAGGGCCATCCACCTGATTGGAGACGCGAACATCACGTTCAACCTCGATAGCCTGGAACATCGAAAAAGGGTTGAAGATTTGTCTCTCTTCTATAGATACTTTCACGGGAAGTGTTTAAGTGACTTGGCACATTTGATTCTACCAAGAGCGGTACATATCCAAAATACGCGACGGACTGTGGTTGCTCATTGTTTTGAGGTTCAACTCAGTATACCTCGAACTTCACTGTTTGAGAACTTTTTCATTTGGAGAACTGCGTGTTTGTAGAGTAAACTTCCTGAGACCGTTTTTCCAAATGGATTTAATCTCCAGTGATTTAAATCTAATGTGAATTACTACTTTCGCACAGGCACCGCTCTGAGAGCACCTCAAGGATTGATTTTCCTGCAGTGCTTGTGTTTTGTCCTTGAAAGAAAAAAGCTTGTTATAAATATGGTGAAAATATCAATATTTTTCATTAGCTGAGAAATTGTTGGTTCTCTGATACCTGCTTTAAATTTCTTGGGCATGTTATCAAAGTTCAATGGTACAATTACTAGCAAATATGACTATCAGTACTGGAACAGGTACTGCAGATTAAACCAATACACTTTTTTTGTGAAAATGAATTTGAATATACTTCGCAGTGTTTAAACGTTATATACAGGAACTTGAAACAAATCAAAAGGCTAATCAACTTGTATGTTGAAACAACAATCTCTGCAACTCTGATAATTACATTACTCATAATTAACTCATAACTTCCTCAGAAAGTGAAAGCTTTTCAACAATGAACTCAAACTCATTTGAAACTACTCAGTTTAAACTAGAGTTAAAAATCTTTTTTATTAATCTGAAAGCTGTGCTAAAGCAGCATCGGTCATAGTTCATCAAAAGAAGAAGAACTCTGTACTATTTTCAAGGTCATGTGAACTCTGATATTTTCATTTTCATTTCATAACCTTATTTTTATTCACAATATGAACTCTAACGTAATAATTTTTAATAATAATCTAAAAACTTATTGTAACATAATTTTTGCGAGGCACTATGCGTTCAAAAGCGATCTGAAAATTAAATGGGTACGTCCAAAGAAAGTACCCTGTTACAAACCAGAAAAATCTGGTGATCTACTTGGGATCCCAAACATAGAAAATAAAAAGAATATTTTGGGTTTTAACGATTCAAAAGAACTTCAATCTGCAGATGAAACTGTGAAGAAATTATTTACATTAGAATTCGCTCCCAAGAAATATTCAAATAGAACGTATTTCAAAGAAATTGTGCATTCGGTAAAAAGACATGAATTTGATTTGGGTTCTGCAGAGGTGAAGATTGCTCAATGGACAGGTATGTGTGTTTTTTATTTTCCATGAAACAACATATACTTTCATGATTAGTGAGAATAGCTCATGGGAAAATGTACGAAATATGAACTATCTGAAGCACATATAACATTCATCAACTAGACCTTGGGGACTGCGTGTCTCATAAACCATTGCAATATACAAGAATGGATTAATTCTTGAACGATATGGCTAAACATTTGGAAAAATTTTCCACACTCGCTGCGTCACTGAGTCTCTGGCACTTCAAAATAAAATAGGTGCCATTTTGTTGACAATTTTGTTTCTGCTCGATAATTAAAGATGTATACTGCTTTATTTATAACCATTTGTAATCAACTACATCAGGATACTTAATTATTCTAATTGTCTATTCTAGGCTCCCAATCTGATTGAATCTTTTACTGAACTTTTGAATTAATGAGTTTATTATATTCTGGTACAAAAGTTTGGACTCCATTTCACACGGTGTTGTTGCCTTTTCGAAATATTTTTTATTTGAATTATACATTTTTTTATCTTGAAAGGTGCATGTCACCATAAATGAGCTCAGGTATCAGCACTGACAGGCACGTCATAGGTTCGCAATCTCGGATTAGAAACACTAGAATCTTCATTAGTAGATTGAAGTTCTTTTTTACTATCTTATCTTACTGTAATCTCCTACTATAATATTAATAATATTTATTCACCATTTTTGATACACTTGGGTATATATGGTAAGCAGTTGTACTACAAGCTAGTAAAGATAAAAAGAGAAGAAGATTGAAACACAGATTCACCTCTATATATATACACATACATATACAGGCTATTCACGGTGGATGGCACATTAGACGTTTCTGGTGAACCAGACAACAGATCACTTTGAAAATTTAATGGAGGGCATATTCGGACATTCTCTAGCCAACTAAAATATTTTCGACAATGCGGTGTTGCCGCTTCTATTAGAAAGCAGTAGCAACTTTGATTTTTCAAATGGAACACTCTGTATATAATATTATTTTTGGAATCTCCAACAATTGCCCGACAACNACACATATATGCACATATACACATATATACATATATACATATACACATATACAAATAAGCATACATGCCCACAAATTTATCAAGCATTTTACACCATTCACATAATTTAATCCAAATAAAATTACGTCCACTGTGAATTTGTTTGTGGGATTGTCAATTAAAAAATCTTGGTAACTGTAATAGCATCTTTCTAAAAGCATAGTTTTAACATAATCATGGAATACTTTGTCACTTGTGATTTTTTCAACTACATGTGGCAGCTTATTGAAGCACGTGATGGCATTATACCGAGGGGATTTTTTATAGCTTGTCATGAGATGCTGTGGGATTTTTAGAAGATCACCATTTCTTGTCTTATCGGTAGGAATGTTTTGGATTGAACTTTTTTTTAAGTCCTTATATTCTTTATAAAGCTTCATTTTAAAATGGCTCTTTTATTTTGCAGGAATAATACGGGCTCTACAATCGGTAATGGAACGTTTTCCTCGCAACGTAAAGTTGAAGGTGAATTTGAAAGAATTAATTGACCAACGAAATAAGCATCTAAAATATTTACGTTGTTGGGATTACAAAAAGTTCGAATGGTTATTGGAAACTTTGAATATTCAATATAAACCACATCCAAATAAATTCCATTGGATAACCAGGAAGGAATCTTTGCAAAAATTGACTGATAAATATTGCGAAGATGTGAAACAGAATCTACTGAACAACTATAGATTGGAATTGGAAAGTCAACAACTTAACTTTCTTGAAGAGAAAGTTGCCACCCTAAATAGTTTAGTGTGAAAACGCTCTCTTTATTTACGACGTATTTCTTGTTATTGTATGAAGATATCGTGAAAAATAATTTTATACTTTCAAACAAGAAAAATTAATACTACTACTACAACGACTGCTAATGCAACGTGGGTAATTAAAGCCTACTCTTTAATGTCGCATCCCCACCGGTTCAAAATAATCGTACACTGAGATACCTTAACACCGTCTATCGCTAATCGGGGATTCCCTTCTGCTTTTAACAAAAGAGCAATGGACCACATCACCCTAAAAATGTTGGCGCCTGAACTTACCGAACCCAGTAACCAAAAAGTGACATTTTTTAACATCAGTTGCCGAGGAAAAAACGTTATATAAAGAAGAGCGTATACAGGCCGTTTTTTTATCATGTGCTAACACTGCTATATTCCAAACCGTAACAAAACTGTTGGATCAGATATTCACACTGTTAAACAGCTACAAAAGTTTGATATTTGACAAGAACATAATAATATTTCGAGTACCCAGTCAGAAATAACAGAACAAGGCTCCAGTACGCATAGTTTGACTCCCGTTCTAGCTGAAAAGAAAAACTGTCGTTCCACAGTAGATGCACAAATTGGGAATCATTTAAATGTAACAGTTCCAACAAAAAGAGACAATGGATCAATTGCCTGACCAGCTCAATCCCTAGATTTCACTCCCTCAGATTTTTCGTCTAGGGATACATAAAGGATACATTTTTTTGACACCCACTACAGATTTTGACCATTGAAAAAAATAAAGAGATGCGTGTAATAGCATTTCATCCATCATGCTAGGAAATTACTACAGAAATTGTATGGACAGACAATTTATGCACATTCAACAAAGAGGTCGTCAATTTGAGCAATTAATGTAGTTTGATATGTAAAATTCATTTTCTGTATTGGTTTTATTTTCTCCCGAAAATTCATTATAAAATGAATTATTTTTCCATTCGATTGGTGTCACTGATAATGCTACTTATTTCAAATGAAACGTTACAAAACTATCAAGTGTGATACACCACTGAATTGTGATTCAGTGTCTCGTGTCCTATCAAAAATATAAAACTCAAACAAAAAATTTCCAAGCCATGGATAACAAATGATATCATACGAGAAGGAAAAACATTAAAAGACATGTTCTGGCTTATTTCTTCTAGTAACACTGTAGACCCTGATATGATGCATAGTTATAGGGCAAAACTAAAAAATCACAGATTAAAAATCAAACAAGGAAAGACCAACTATTATAATGCAAAAATATATAACTCCAACAATAAAACTAAACAAGTATGGACTATCATAAATNATGGGGCTATTTGAAGCAAAAGGTGTACGAAACCGAACCTGTTTCAATATTGGATATACGGCAGAGAAAAATAAATATTTGTAGTGATATTGACGTTACTGTGTTCTAAAATGTTCAGCTTGAAATATCGGATAGGCTGTTCATATGTCAAAAAGTTCAAGGCAACCATTTCAAGCATCATCTGAACTGACCTCAAGCTTATTACCTCTTATTATGTAGTTGAATGTCAATGTATTCAGACAATTATTAAAAGTTCCGCCATTTTGTAGTAGTTGAAGATATTGTCATTGAGGTTGTGAAGCATTTGTCAGTAGCTTCAAAAAGACGTTACCTTTTGTAACTAATCTCAATGAACTGAAGTCTATGGAATGGTTTTGTTGCAAAATATGATGGACGCCTGCTGATTTTTCTAATCTTCCATATTTTAGGTGTGCTAAGTGTTTCTTTTATCTTATTTTAATAGATCTTTTAGTCTGTCCATAATATTTTGCATCGCAATACTTACATTTAATTTGGTAAATTCAGACTTTTCCGAATTCTCGACTTCGTCTTTTGGACTTCCTGAAAGGCTCTGTAGTGTACGACTTGTTGGTGGTGGTGAGTTCGATCTCAACCTCAACTAGATATTTTTCTCAAGAGAATTTATCTAGTTCAAGATGGGATGATTTTGCAACGTTACATGGCTGACAGACTGCGAATAGCAGGTGGCTCGGAGAATTATTAATATTGCCTACTCAGGACACGAGGCTAATGACACGATGCCGATGACACCAAGAAAAAAACTACTTCGAAATATGTACGCCTTTAGATTTTACAAGTTCAACAAATTAGGTGGAATCAATTAATGAATAAATACTCTTTATTTCACAATTTTCGTCAGTAACACTATTTACAAGTTGCGATATGTCCCAGAATTCAAATACACATTTCTTTAATCGTGAAAAAGTATTTGTGTCGTTTCAGGATAAGTGACCGCCATCAAATATTGAACGGTTTCGGTGATATTCCTCAGGTATTTATAATATTTTTGTGGTTTGTCCTTCCATTTAACACACATGAAGTACACAGGCACTCCTGAAAAATGAAAACGAGGTTTATTCATTAATAATTACATAGAATAAGTTTTCAAACATTTCTTTCAAATTTAAAGACATATAAACATTTGTTTGAAGGTGGTTGACAATGTTTCATCATGAATAGAATAGAATAGAAGTTTATTCATCACTAAAGTTCACATGTACAACATAAAAAAAGTGTAAATACATGAAACTTATTGGACTAGTCACAAAGAGAGCTTAAAAGTAATTAAAATTTACAAGATTATACATATACATTTTTGATAAGTAAAATATTAAAATATACAATGAACATCAACAATTTAAAAATTATTTGAGTAGTCATGAAGATGATAGCACAGCTTGCTATCGAAAGCGCTCGCATATAATAATTAGAAGTTATTAAAGCTTCAAATCTTTTTTGTGAACAAGCGTACAGTTTAGAATAGACTTACCAGAAAGAATCACGGCAAGTCCCACAACAGTGTTCCATGGTTGTTTAGGTATGGGAAACACGATAATAAAGGCGCAACAGATAAGGAACAGGACTGGTATTGAAGTATGAATCTTTATTGGTCTAACCATTTTTGGTTCCTTGTGACGGATCCATAACATTCCAGCTATACTAGCACCAGTTGACAGCCACAGTATTTGTCCATAGTAATTGATCAACACGTAGACGTCACTTATAAACAGCATGGCTAGTGAAGTAACGCACTAGAAAAAATGAATAAAAACATTCAGTGAACAATTACTGAGATAATATGAACAATAATTAGGGTATAGAATTCCGTTTTATTAAAAACGTGAATCTAGAATATAAAAGTTGATATTGTTACAAAACAATTCAACATTTTATAATGCCTCAGATACCTGTTCGTCGTCTTGATTTCATCCAGGTTGGAGCCCAGCTCCCTTACCCTTTTGGCTGAATTTTGTCGAAGAAGGACTGGGTGGGATGGATGCAAAATCAACTCGTCCTTTAACGGGGAACATGAGGGCCTCATTCGACAGAGTGTCGGGGCCTTCTATATCGGGAGGGGTCGTCTACAGCATAATCTATAGCTTCCCTAACTAACGTTGTGCCTCAGATAATTTTGATAACCTGAATATATAGCCCGCGATATAAATTAATAAAGTAACGCTATAGGATTCCATTGTGGAAATATTCGTTAGTTCAAGGAAAGTTGCATACCAGTTGCTGCTTCAAAGTAATGAGTGATTTTCTTTGCTGGTATCATTTTGGCAACACTGTTTTTGACAGATTACGCGTGAATCGTGTCTTGTGTCATTGTCAAACTTGTTCAGTTTGGTCTATAATTTAACCATGAACCGACTTACGAATGAACAACGCTTGCAAATTATTGAATGTTATTATCAAAATTCATGCTCGGTGAAGAAAGTGCACTTCTTCCAATTTATGGGCAGTTTCATCGGCTACTGAGGGAGCTATTCGAAAGCTTGTGACTAAATTTTGAACCCAGTTTACATTATTGGACATTATTATCATACGTAGACTGAGGACCGAAGGAAATATTGCGGCTGTATCCGCCAGTGTTCGTGATGACCGTGAAATGTCGATTCGCCGCCGTTCGCAGCAATTGGGCCTCTGTTACTCCACTTGCACAGTTGGTGCAAGAATTGAAACCACACGACCTCCCACAACGTCTAACATTTGGTGAATTGGCACTGGCAAAGTTGGAGGAAGATCCACATTTTTATCGAAAAATTTTGTTCTGCGACGAAGCTCATTTCTGGTTGAATAGATACGTTAACAAGCAAAATTGCCGCATCTGGAGTGAAGACCAGCCACAAGCATTGCAAGAGCTACCGATGAATCCCGAAAAATCACTGTTTGGTGTGGATTATGGGTCGGTGGCATTATCGGGACGTACTTCTTCAAAGACGGCAATGGCGGGAACGTTACTGTGAATGGCGAGAACTACCGTGTGGTGATTAACAACTTTTTGTTGCCCAAAATGGGAGAATTAGACATGCCTGACATGTGGTTTCAACAAGCGGTGCCACATGCCACACGGCACGCCGAATTAAGAGCCGCCTTCCGTGAACACTTTATCTCACGTTTGGTGCCCGTCAATTGGCCACCAAGATCGTGTGATTTAACGCCTTTGGATTATTTCTTGTGGGGTCATGTTAAGGCTCATGTCTACAGTAGCAGGGGAGCCTCCGATGCAAAATGGGGATTAAGTAGATCTGCCAGGCCTTCGTGCTTTTCCATTTCGATGAGTAGATGAATAAAGCGACTCCGAGCTCAAAAACTTATGCTTTTTTTTTGACGTTTCATATCTTGCCATTTTACGACCTCCGATCGGAACCTTATGGAACACCCATCTAGAGGTAGGCGTGCTGTGTTTCAGTGAGACTTTAGTGAGTGGAAGAGAGAAACGTGTGACGTAACCGATGCAGAGAAGGATGAAATGAGTATCGGAGAGATTCAAAGAGCGTAGGGCCCCTTGGGATCTCGCCTCACGCCTTGAGCCTCCTTAGGACTTCACCTCTGGGCCCCCTTGTCGCCACCAGCCACGTGGTCCCAGAGGTCATCGGCACCTGAGTTTAAATTACATTAAAGAAAAACAGATCGGTATGAGAATTGAACCCAGGTTGTCGGCGTGGTAGGCTTGATTTCTGTAGAATTTTAGTGAAAGTGTGATGTAGAAAATAAGGGAGATATTCTTAGATTTGAATAAAGAATGGATGTTTTATAAGAGGTGTGTGTGTGTGTATGTAAGAGTGAGAAAACGGTTTGACGTATGAGAGTGTGAGAGTGTTGGTGTTGGTCCTTCAAGAGGAAGATTAAACTTTGATCTTCCTCTTGAAGATGATCACTTGGGGATCGAAACACGTGTCGAGGTGTTGAAATAACGGTTTGGTGTCGGAATGAAACTCCAGTAATATTCATTACTACACGAAATATTCCAAACAGTGTATCACAAGTATTGAATCAAATGGTTCAATTATTTCTCATTCACATGAGCAAGCAAAAATTTTACTAACAAAATTTTATATGAGGAGTTATCAACAAATAGTATATTTTTTTATAAGTATTTTGGTGTTCGCGCAGTAGGTAATTTGCAGACGTGCATTCTAAGTTTGTCCCGTATACAACTCTATTATAACGTTGACATTATTCTCAGTCTATGGAAGTAAGGATTGTGATACTTACTGTGAAAATTAAACTTGGTATAGGAGTGCTTCTTGTAATATGTATGAAGGAGAAGAGGTTAGGCAAGTGTCCCTCTTGCGCTCCTGTGAGGAACAATCTTGAGGATGTAAATAAAATACCATTAACTCCACCAAAAGTAGATAAGGCCACGAATATCGGCACTAACCAATGTAAATTTCCAAACATCTTCATACCAAATGTCTGAAAAAAAATCTTTTGAAAGTCGACTAGAATGGTTTGGTGATAAACAGACTTCGAGTAAAGATAAACATTTGATAATCGTAATCCCATCGGATGGGTTAGTATAGTATAGTATAGTTAGTCTTTTTACAGTTCGAAGGTCCGATAATAAGACGTATAGTGGGGGTAAAAATGTATGGAGCTGTTAATATTACTTCCTGATCCAACCCCACTTTTTCATCGAAACTATCGATAAAAAAATGTTGCAACTGCCTAAGAATGCGCATTGTACAACAGTTGGAGACCCTATAGGGAGAGTTCGCAGATTTCTCCTTTGAATCCTTTATTCAAATGGGGATTACGAGCTCAAGCAGATATACTAAATTGCGTTCTAATGAAACAAGTGGGAGATTGGTCAATTTTCTCATTATTAATTTTTCATTTATCCTTGTCTGATTATCAGTATTGGGAGGGTGTCAACAGAATAAATCATTTATTGAACTTCTATTGTAGATTATGCACCCCAGGAAAAATAAGTGAAAAACTGCCTCCAGTATGCCGAAAGAGATGTTGATGGAGTGTGCATAACATAAAATTGCATCTGTATGTGATAATCTAACACGAATCCTACAAAATAATATTGACGTCTTGAGCTACTAGTACCATTTAGATCATTGCAAAGCTACAGAGACTTTTTTCTGTTGATATTGCAGAGTGAATGATGTGCATGAAATCACACATAATGGGAAAGAAGAAAATTCAATAGTTACGTCACGCACGTTTGTATTGTCGGAAGACTTTAGCAAGTTAAGCGCCAACTTCTGAAAACCCATCAAATTGGATACTCCATATTTAATGTGGATACGAAGGGTAAGGTTATCAGCTACTCGAAGTCAGTTAATTATCCCCCCTACCATAATGAAAATTCCAACTGGATGTGGAATTGATAAAATCAATGAAGTGATTGAAACATTTTTCAAATACAAGGTACTCTCCGATATCAGTTTGTTGCCATTTCGCCACTATTATTATTACATCGAATATTTCAGTTGTCAATCAACAACATTGACATAATTTCATATTTCAAACCTTCTTTGACATCTGTCGAAGAAGTAAAGAAAAAAGCTCTCAAAAAAGGAATAACTGCGTATATATTCGAATTTTTATCCATTTCTGAAGACGGAGGCAGATTTTGACGGTCAAAAATACGCCATATAAAGTTTATTGATTATTGATAAATACATACAAATTATTCAGACAATGCCAAACTCCAATAGCATTGGAGAACAAGTAATGATACGCATCTGTACGGAGCATTTGTATATCTTGCAAGAGCTGTAGTGGGGGTTACATTAAAAATGAGTTTGTGCGTATCGGGGCGTGCATGCCATCACGTTTGGCGCTTGCTTATCGGTCGTTTCTCTTGTCGTTTCTTAACAAGGAGAACAGAGGACTCGAAAGAAAAGTAACATTATAAAAATTCACTTAATTTTTAATGTACATCTCGCAAATAGTGATTTAATGTTTATAATTGATACCGTACCAAAAATAAGGATTATATTTTGAATTTTTCATTGATATTTATTCCTACTTGGCTAGTGCTAAACTCCGGAGATTTTTTTTGATTCCTTGGGAGCTGTCTGACTTGTCCATTTAGTCCAAGTCGCCAGAAAACACAGCAGCTTCTTGGGCTTATTGCGTTTATTCTCCAATCTTCTCATGACACCCATTCCATCAGTCTTGTTTCCTGTACTAGTTTGTACAGGTTCCGTGTTGGATGTTTGTCATGTTCTTCTGGATGTAATTTTGTACGTCCATATATTGCCTGCTATCCCTACTATATCGGACGGTTCCCCAATGAAGGTTCTACTGTGTTTGTTGCCAGGTACTTTTATCCAGTACTCTGTGTGCTTCTTATTGGTCCATGCCCTAATCTGGTTTCGTACCAATGATTTTGGTACCCCCAGAGCTGGTTCAGGACCTATA